AGTGCAAGCAAAGAGATGCTCGGAAACGAAGGCACTTCCAACAGTTTTGGTATGACTCGCAAGTGCCACCTCAGGTCATGTTGTGTGTCTGTTGCGGTTCACTCGGTCGCCTTCGGGCATGGCGAAAAAGATCACTTGTAGAGTGGATGCTCAAGAGAAGGGATTCCTAATCAATACTGTGTCCTATAGTTTGTATGTGTCCAAGCTCGACATAGTAGATTGTCGAGGTACGCCGCGATTGAGCATTCAGGGTGAAGTTCAATAGCCTTAGGCCACTACATGGCGAATGTGTGTGATGGCGGCGATCTGATGACTGTGTCGAGGCGGGCGGGTGTATCGAGTCGTATTGTGTTCATGTTGTTTCAGCATAGGTTTCAGAGTTGTCGAGTATAGTAACGAACAACACATATTTACTGTTTTACCGTAGACGATGAGTAGTGACAAGGTGCCTGTATGATTTTGATTATCGTTTGGTGTATGCCACCAACAAGGTGCGTGTAAGATTAGCCAAACTGCAGCTAGTGAATGCAAACATGCCAGACACGTCGTCACTAGAATGATGGATGTGTTGAGTGCAGTTATTGTTAAAATGACGGGTGCGGGGATCGAACCTGGGATCTTTCAGATTAAAGTATTGTGAGAAGTGTTCGCTAGCTAGAAGTGGTCAATTTGGAGCAACTCTTCTAAGGGTGCTTGGCTAGTTCTGCCTACTAGAGACCTTATTCTTGTCTTTTGGGAAAAGTAGCGCGCGCCCTGCTAATCGATTAATTTTTCCGTATGGTTCTCGACTTGAAGAGTTGGAGTTCGCAGCAAGTAAGAAGACTGCTGATCTTCCGCTGAGTCTCTGGTGATTGCAGGTACGCAACTTGAGTGATGGTGGAGCTCGACCAGTTCCCAGGGTATACCCTACAGGGTCGGTGGTACAGGGCACGGGCTTGAGAGTGAATGATAGTGTTTCGATGAGGAGGTGACTGTAAATCTCAGTGAGTGTTGTAGGACTGTTCCTTGTAGAGGTGCTCCTACTATTACTACTAAGAGTAATCCTCCTGTGGTGAGGACGACAGTGGTGAGGAAGGTCGTTAAAGGAGTTTCTAGCTCAACAGAGAGGTAAGGTTAGTACTAGTGATAGTAGTGCTACTAGCGTTGTGCCATAGTTACCCAAAACCATCGGGTGTGTATACGCCTAGCAGCAATAACACTACTACCATCTCGAGTTCGGTTTACAGGGCCTCGCAGAGTCCCCCTAGGGGTGGTTGGAGCCCTAAGTACTCTAATGCAGCACCGCCGCCCTCATTCACCGTTATGGGCAGTTCTATTAGGTGAGAGTTGATAAACTCCGACAAGTGGAAAATGGTATTTTTCTTATTAGTAATTTCCCTCCCGTATCTCCGGTGCTGCCGGGTCGAGACTGTCTGAGCTATATGGCGAGCAAAGGCGGATCGCATAGCAGGATTGGTGGTTACACCAAGAGCACTTCTACTGTTCATATGGTAGTATGCTGATTGTGATGCATGTAGTTTCACTCGGTGGTAGGCACCTCGACAATCTCCTCTCGTTCATATCGAAAAGCCCGCATCAGGGCTTCGTCCAGGAGTTGGTTTGCCGAAGTATGAGGTCCCTGACGATGAAGGGAATTCGAAGGGCCGTCCACCAGCGATAAGGGTGGTGCGTTCGCATACGGCTGACCGGTCTAGCAGCGCCTCACCGTTGAATGAAGTAGAATTGGAAAGTGGTGCCTCGTCGGTGGTTGGTGATAGAGATTATGAAGAGCATGTCCGGTCGGCCGATGTTACACGGATTGGTGTGTCTGAGGATAGCAGTACTACTAGAGGCGATAGTGCGATGAAAAATGAAAGTCAAATAGGAGACGATGATGGAGGGGTTGATGGGGAGCCTTTAGATGATGGTGAAGAGATAGAAACCGAAGAGGAAGAAGAGGTAGGGTATGGGTAGTTTATTTTAGTTATTTACAATTTTCACTTGTGAGGAAATTTTGGAAAATTCTTATTGGTTTCTGTACATTTATACCCGAAATCGTTTGTGGGAAAGCTCCTGAGCTTAGCTGAGGACAGCGCTAATATATATTCCTCCAACACTGCTCATGTGCTGGTCTTAAGGTTTTTAAGGAGACTCCTGAGATGAGTAACTGCAAGGCTCTGTCGCCGGTGAAGGAAAGCGAGGGAAGTAGGAACAGTATGGAGGTACCGGTTGCAATAGCGTTGAGGTGGTTGCTGAGTACAGAGAAAGCAGAGTTGGAGAAGTGATGGTATATGGCGTTGATTACTTTATGAAAGTTGTATGTGGTAGGTGGACATTTGACCTTACTGATGTGGGGTTACGGAATGTCTTGGAAGTAGTGGCTTCGCATGTGAGGAGTAAAGGATGTCATCTTGAGGAGGTGCAGAAGGAGATTAAGAGCGCTAGAGGCAAGTGTTGAGATTAGCAGTGGTTTGATATGCGTGCTGATGCTTTTAGACTGTTGATTGAGTAGGTTATGGAATTCTAGACGATTAATTCAGTTTTAGAATATTTGGGGAAGTTGTGGTAGGAATTTGTAGTAACCATTGATTCTACTATAGTAGGATGTAGCTAGTGAGAATAGGGTGAATAGAAGCTGAGTATAGAGTATTTGTATTTTTATAATTATATTATGAATTTTTATACTAAAGTTAGAGTTTGAATTTTCTATGTGGGTCTACGGCATAGTGTAGGCATTGCCATTGACAGGTTGTGATGCATTTGCATTCTTTGGGTTGGACGAGAAGTGTGATATAGCGGATCTGAAGAAGGCGTACAAGGAGAAGTCTAGAGAGCTGCATCCTGATAAAGGTGCTTGTCAGTAGTTGTGGAAGGAGTGGTATGAAATTCAGGTGGAGATGAGGAGGCGTTTGTTGATATGAAGGCGAAGTATGAGGATATACTACTGAGTGCTGATGGTTGTGGTGGGACTGTTGTGACTGAGTTGTTGTGGTAGTGGTAGTTGTTGTAGAGGATTTGGAGGAGTCCAAAGAGAAGGGGTCCATAGGGTGGGATCCAGCGAAGCGGGAGACTATGGTCAAGGCGCTGTTCGAACTGCGGCATCAGGTTAGGAGGGTTAGTGTTGGAGGAATATAAGTTTCAGCTCAAAACTCTTATTCGTTAACGAGAAACACAGATTTTTTGAATTTGTCTAAGAAAAAAATACGCTCCTTATGTCCGCTTCCCTCACATGATTGTAATAGATTGTATACGAATTATGGTAGAACTTATACCAGAAATTGTTCAGAATTTTCATATGTTGTTGACCATGTGCATATTTTCTCACACTGATCTCTGGTAAGGTTATTCTTATTGAGCAAAAGATCGAAAATTTGGAGGAGGAGTTGAAACGTGTCCAAGTGAAAAAGGCTTCGGCGTGCAGTAAGACCAAGCATATGCTGCCCTCTTTGGGTGAGTTATGTCACGTTTTACGCAGTAGTAGTATTGTTGTTGTTATTTTAGAGGAGTCGATGGCATCATGATGGGAAATATTTTGTATCACCAGAGGAAGGGAACACCTCTAGCATGTAGATAATTAGATCTTAAGAGTGTTGCTGCGCACTTTAGACAGATGAAAATTTCAGGAGAAATTTCTCAATTTTTACGGTATTGTGTTTCTTGGGGGAAATTTTGGTTTTCTATTGGAGATTTTTACGCAGTTTATCGTTAAGAGTAATAAAATGTGGAATCTTAAGCGAAGCGGTGCTGATGCTGGCAGTGGCGTTCCTAAGCCGGAGAACTATGCTAAAAAGGAACTCATCTACAAACTCCAGTAAGATGCCTTTGGGCGTTTTTGACTTGTTAATTTTGTATTTTCAGAATCGCCTCGGTTTTCCTGGTATCTGTTCGTTTTCTGCCGTGGGCGTTGAGGAAGGCCGGCGCGATGGAGCCTCTGGGTATTGCGGCAACTCGTAGGTGAAGATTGTTGATAATTGGCTGGAAGACGAGTTTCGGAAGGAGTGGTATGAGAGTTGTGTTAAAATGTGGGAACTTCTAGAATCGTGGTTTTCGCCTTATCATGGTGATAATGTTCATGATCGCATACATGGTTACTCGATGAGTGAGCGAAGACTAGTGGTATTGAATCGCCAGTAAGCGTTTCAAGCTGATTTTGTAACTCCTTGTAGATAAAGTGGAAATGACGCAAAGACTAGAAACTGGATGAAACTTGTGCGTGGAGGAATATATAATAGAGGTTATCGCTATGCAGTGATATCATGAAACGCTGAGAAATTCGACGAATTTTAGTGCATATTCGTTATTAATATCGGAAAATTATTAGCATATTTTATTTTTTTATCATTTTTTGAATATAGATTTTTTCTTGTAAGACAAGTGTATTATATTGATCTCGAATCTCTTCGATGCCGCACTTCGAGACGGCGTCCTCATCATCACCAAGAGCAGCAGGTGTAGATGCTAGCGACGACTCTTATGATGCAACTGCACGAATTTTGGTATTGGGTGATAGTGGTAAGTGTGGTGGTAGCAAACGCCACTGACCACATGAAAATTCTGAGGAAATTTCGGGAAATTATTCGAAATTCTCTCTGATCATACGAGGTTTGGTAAAAGTGAAGAGAAGCCAACGAGAATTTCCGAAAATTTCCTCAGAATTCTCATGTTGTCATCAACACACGTATTTGACCGTGTGCACATTTTCAAACACTGGCGGCAAGGATAAGTGCGGGGGAAAATATAAAGGTGGTCTACTACCTGTGTTGGTGACAATATGATAATTCTGAGGAAATTTGGGGGGAATTCTGGGTGTTTTTCGTATGTAAGTCGTGTGTAGATTTTCATAATGTGCCGAGGAAACGTCTGAGCTTAGGTGAGGAAATCACATATATACTCTAACATTGATAACGATAGTGACATCGACGTCTACTCGTCAGAATGTGGGGAAATTCGGATTCCTAGCGATAAGATCATTGGGGGTCAATCACTGTTCGTTTGGAGGGTGGCCTCGCCGACCGCTTTACAGCAGTATAGATAGTATCAGTGTATTGCTCTATCTCATATGCTTAATTAAAGCAGTGCTGATGATTGTAGTAATGAGTAGTTTTCCTGGGCGAAACTTCTTACGGATTACGCAGGCGCCATCTGCGTAGAGGAACATAGTTGGAAATGAAAAATCAAAATTTAAAGGAGCCGTGGAAATGGACTGATTATTAGTGTACACATACAACTCTACGCTAGGGATAAGGTATCTGTGGAGTTCAATAATTGCCTCTAAGAACGCGACTAGCCAACCTGAGGCTCTCGTGCTGCAGCGAGTGTTGGCTTCGACTTCACCTCGTACGGCTACTCGGCCATGAAACGAAATGGCTATTAATCTGAGTCGCTCGGGGACTACCTTCAAAGCTCCAGCAGGTTTACCGTTGTAGTGCTAGGCTTTAGCGAGACCTGTGATGACTACCACTCGATCGCCGTCCATAAAGGGACACGTGTCGTTTGCTCTAATATTGCCCATCGACTTGGGCTTGTGATATGTAGACTGCTATTCGATGAGGGAATTGTTCATTTTTTTCAGCTGTCGGCAAGTCGTCACTATTAATGCGATTCTGCGAAAATCGCTTTGATTCGAATTTTGTGATCACCATTGGGGTTGACTTCCGAGTGAAAACCCTGGACATACAGGAGAGAAAAATTCGCTTGCAAATTTGGGTAAGTAGTTGGGAATGAATTCTCTATAATTTCGGTCGATGCCAGGATACAGCTGGACAGGAAAGATTTCGGACGATTACTCCGGCGTACTATCGTAACGCGATGGGAGTTTTGCTTATCTATGATATGACAGATCTCAAAAGTTTTAAAAGTAACCTGTTTTGTATCTTGGTCGGTCAACCTAAAGATATTCTCGTTACTTAGATGTGGACTACTGGGTTCGTAATCTGGACCAACATGCAGATAAGACTGTTCAGAAGCTTCTAGTGGGGAATAAAGCAGATATGGCAGCTAAACGGGTAGTAGAGGAAGAGGAGTAGTCGTTGTGAATGTATTGATTCACAGAAAGTGTCTACGGAAGAGGGACAGGCTCTCGCTGATAAATACGGAATGACTTTTTTCGAGACTTCTGCTAAGAGTGGTCTCAATGTGGAGGCAGCATTCAGGGCGATTGCAGAGAGGGTGTGTGAGAGTTATGAGTAATAGTCGAGTGGGGATGGGGGAAGTCTGTTATCCGAGCGATCCGGGTTCGATTATATGCGGGGGCATACTTTCTATTTCAGTTTGTTGAGTGGTGTTCCCTCACGAGCACACCATGAGGGGTCGCTCCCCAGCTCTAACACGGTTGAACTATCGGACCGTCGTGGGAATGGGGGACCCTCTGTGTCGGGTTCAGACAGGAGGAAGTGTTGTTGAATATGACATTTATGACTGGCTGCTGAGTGTATGTGTGTACGGTCCATTGTAATCACCATTAGCACTTGGGAATTGCGGTTGTGCCTTATTCCTCTGATAATTTCTGCTGCCAAGATTTCATCTGTACTAATTATGGTATTGGTATCGTGTTACTGTTCATTGGGGTGGAAGTGGCGATTTTTGTGGCGCGGTGAAGCTCTTCTGAAGAATCGGCTGATCACATTACATTAAAGCACTATCGCATCACGTGCTACAGTCGTTTTGATGTGTTCTGTGATGGGTGAAAATAAGTCAAGGCTAGTGGGGAGCAGATCGTTGGACAGTGGAATAGCTGGTACGAGCTTATTCAAACTGTCTCCTTCGTATGACGATATATTACTTGGTTGAGTTATTATATCGTAATCGAATCCAGTTAGAATTTGTGAGTATTCTTACGTTCGCTGGGATGTGTCTTGAATTTCGTTCCGAAGGTGAGCAGTTTCGGGGTCCAGAAGTTTGCCGTTTCGCAAGGTCCAGCATAAAGTGAATGACGGGTATACTTGACGGTGCAACAGACTTCTCCTGAGCTTGCCAGGACTGGATTTAACATGTAGAGCTGGACGCTGGGGGCGCTAGTGAAACTCGGGGAAGACCTACACCCCGACCGTTTCTGATTTCTCTATCACGATGTTGATCGTGGTTTGGGAGACAGCTTTTGAGCGCACAGGTTATCGAAGCGTCCTACTGACCGTCAACTCAATCGGCCTCGTAATGGGGTAGTGGTGTTCGTGAGTGGTAACCTGGAAGCTGTATACGGCTCTACACTCACCGATCATGGTGGTATATTGTAGCGGAGGGAAGCATGCTGCATAACTGAGAGCGATATTAGCTAAGTGCACGCACGGACAGTCGGTACTTGTTTGCCTCTCCCATTGCTATTACTATTGGCACTGATATTGCCAAAAGCTTGTATCGTCATTTCGTCGCATCTCGGGTTCACAAGGAACACGTGGTTGCCACAATGCGATATGATGGGGAATTTGGCGAAACGCGTGCGCGGGATCTACTGTGCAATCCATATTCGAGATTCGAGAATCTAACACATTAGGTGCTGGTCTGCTGCTCTTAGTCGAGGTCGTGATGATGGGGGAGGTGGGGCCCCCATCATGAGGGTAAGTGGTGAGAGTCAACTGGCATTGTCGAATCCAGAGCTACAGTGTTGTGATATGATGAGTGCAATCCTTGTATATTTGGGTTGTAGTGGAAGTCCTCAATGAGACGTACCTGTCGACGAAGATCTATGGACTTGTAAGCTCAAGGGGGCGATTGCCCGCAAGGACTGACTTGCATTGGGAGAATCAATGAGTCCCTGCCCTATTCCGGAGGTATGTGTCGGCTGGATCAGTTATCTGGCGATGGAGAGTGTTGACAGTCGGGAATCTCGCGAGGTAGATGATGTGACAACACCTAGACCATGCTGATAATCCTATGGAGAAATCAGGGTACTGTCAGTGGTCCGTATACAGTAATGAAATCCGTTGAGTACAGAATGCGGCCTGTCAAAGGTAGTTGAGTTGTTTAATAGGCTCACAAGCGAAAACCATGAAATCGACAGCGGCAGGATTCGAACCTGCGCGGGCAGAGCCCAGTGGATTTCTAGTCCACCTCCTTAACCACTCGGACACGCTGTCAGATACGAAAATGATTTGCAACTTAGCCAAGCTAAGGCAGTACGCGTATTTGATCTTCAGTGAATTGATAGTGTTTTCCTGTCAGCCGTGTCACGCGTGACTTCGATGTCATATAGAACTGTCACGTGTATTCGACGTTTTAGGGAAGCCAACCATGAGGAAAGCATGCGTGACGGTTCTTGGGTTGCCGACATAAGTCTTACAAAAGCGCTATAGGAGTCGAGAGCCCGAGTCACAGATTCCCAGGCTGGGGCGTGCTCTCTCTTAGTCCTTCCATGATAGCAGTTTCTCACAACTATAAGCCAGTTATCCTTACCAATCAGTGATCCCAGCGACTATGAGCCAGTCCCCTTATTCACAAATAATCGCCCCACTAGCGCGCATAGCTTAAGCGTATTACGCTTAGCAAGCGTGCCTCCTCTTACGGGCTTATTAGCGAATCATCGTCTCATGGTACTGATAGAAGCTGGTCGACTTAGTACATGGTCTCGCTCTCGAAGCAGCACTGGCGAGACATGTCCTTGACCCACAGGATGCCGCAATGAAAAGTACCCCTGCTGTCCCTTTTGTGTCGAAGCTGTTGTATCCGCTACGCTAGCGTCCTATGAGGGCCCGATATGGAATAGCTAGCGGTGGTCTATGGTGTTAAAGGTTGAGGGTAGTCTCTATGTGGCGGTAACTTGTAGCGTGGGTTTCGTGAGTACGATTACGATATCGAGTGGCTGGTTAGTTCAGAATTTTTGACGATGGCGTTCTCATGCCTAGGTAAAGCCGGTAAGCACGAAGAGGAGGTGACCGAGGCTGGTTCTCCGGGCGCCTCTAACGTTGCGACGAAGGAGGTTAAGGAGCCGACCTGCGACTGGAAGTTGAAGACCTACTTCTGTATCATCGGTTGTGTTGCTCTTCTCGGTTGGAACTTCATTCTCGGTGAACTAGGTGGTCTTATCGATGCTTTCGGTGAAGCATACGGTACTTGGGTTTCTCTATGTTACTCCTTTTTTATTAACTGCGGCCAATTGCTGTTAGTGTACATGGGTAATCGATTCAAGTTTGGACCACGTTTTTACATTGGTTGTGGCGGTATGGGCATTTCCCAGATCCTTCTGTCCATCTGTGCTGCCACTTGGGCGCAGCAGAATCAAACTCTTGGTTTCGTATTTGGTTGCATCTTTGTTGGTATCTTCGGATTCGCCAATGCTCTGATGGAATCTTCTATGTTCGGTTTGGCTGCTTTGGTCACTTCTGAGTGTACCGAATGGATTATGATTGGTGAAGGTATTGCTGGTTTATTGGCTTGGCCTGTAGACAGACTCTGCCAAGCTATCCTGGTCGGTTGCGGTGTTACTGATTATATGTATCCTCGTATGATCTTCTTCTACGGTCTGGCTATGTTGGCTAACTTCGTATGCATTCCTATGTATATGTACGGTGTGCAGAGTCATCCGTATATGCAGCCTGTTTTCAAGATTGAGGAAGATAGAGTCAAGTTCCAGCTGAAGAAGGAAATGAAGAGACCTACATCTCAGGTTATCAAGGATATTCTACCAATGGCTATAAATGTATGTGCTGATTTCACGATTACTTTCGTAGTCTTCCCCTGGACTATCTTCCAAATGGTTCCATCGGCCATGTCAACTGACCAATTCGGTCAACTGATGACATACTGTTTCCAAGTTTTCGATACCCTGGGTAGGTTCTCCCCCAATCTCCGTTTCCGTATCAGCAAGAAGCTCATTCGCTATGTCTCATTTGGTCGTGTGATTTTCATCGCGCTGTTCTTCCTCAACTTCAGCGTCGATGTTCCTCCGTTCCACTCTGATTGGTGGCGATTCGTTATTATGGCGTTCTTCGCTTTCACTAACGGTTCTGTTGCTACTTGGTGTATGATTTACGGTCCTCAACAGGT